GTGCATGTGCTCCAAGGGTCTGAGAAATGGCTTTCAATGTTCTGTTTCTTCAAGAGCGTCCGAATTACAAAGGCTGTGATACAGGAATAGCTCCTCACCCCCACCTACCAAAAACCTGAAGAGGCAGCTTCATTAGTAGGGTACACAGCACTGAATTATTTGTTTCTCTGAGCTTGTGATTTCTTTCTGCTTCAGGCTGGCAGCAGCCTGCAATTTTGAGGGTCAGCTGGAGAAAATGCCTACACATGCTGGCATGGCCAGCTCTTGGAGCCCTTCCATAATGGTTAACAAGTAATGTTTTATTTCTGGAAATGAAGTGTGTTCTTTTTTCCCAGTGGGTTTTACCAATTGTTGTTTCTCACTAGTATTGCATGCCTGTCAGGCTTTATTTCTCAGAAGAGATAATGAATTTAAGTCTGTTTTCCTGTTCTGTGTACCAAGGCCCATGTCTAATGGATCTAATTAAGCCAATATAAAACTCTCCAGATTATCAAATATTGTTCCATTAAGGAAATAGTATTTGAAGTCATATTTTTATTGGCTGAATTATATTTGAAGACATAGCGAGTGTGTGTTGAAGGTGAACAGAAGGCAAGTCAGTATGACCAAAACTGTTTCTTCTTGTTTAAAAGTACCTGCCCAGCCCTGGAAAGAAAGGTGTAGCCAGTTGCTGAGGGTGGGATTTGCGTGCTCGTAGTATGATGTGCTGTCCTTAAGCTGTGCTTCCTAGGGGAACAAAAAAAAGCATGTTTTAACAAATCTCAAAATACATAATGTGAGGAAATTTGTAATATCTAATGGTGTTCTCTGACAGACTCTAGTTTTGAAAACAGGCTTTTTTTACTTAGTCACTTAAGTGAATAGCCATAGTAATGTAAATGAAATTACTCACTGGCATAGAGCAGCTATGATTTTATACATTCTTAGAAAACTTTTCTGCTTTTTGTTAGTTTAAGATTTCTGTGTTGAAATAGTAGATCATTTGCGATTGCCAATAAAAACTGGAATGAGGTCCTACATAACTTTTTTTCCTCGGCGTAATACTTCTAACACAGCACTTCTTGACATGCTGTAGAACTGCGTAGAGATGGGACAATCTGTAAATAAAAAGGGGGCTATGATAATATATTGCAAAAGTATGGTTGTTGAGGACTGCTGAAGAGATAAGGTGGGAAACAACTAAGGCAGGATCTCTGTGTACACACACTTAGCTCAGAATGTAAAGTCTATATAATATAATGATGTGTGCCACTGACAGTAGAGTGACTCAAGTTACTGCAGTAGATCCTGCACTTTAAGGTCTGTCTGGACTAAGTAATTGGCATCAATAAGACGTATCCCTCTCGAATCAATGCTGATAGTGATTCAGCTGTAGGAGCTGATGGATAAAATAGGTTTCAACACCTTTAAGTCCTGAGAAGTTTCCAGTGACGACGCCAAAATGTGCGTGTTGTTTATTCCATCTTCATCTCCGCTGTGGGAGCTGGACAACAGCTGGTCATTGTCCTGGTGGTGGTAAATGCTCATCCGAAGCTCCTGGGATTTAAAAGCATGAGAGGGAGACCTGTAATAATTTTATCTGTCTTTAGTTATAAGCACAGAAGAACTACTCGTGCTTTAACTTTAAATTAATCCTTAGAAATATCAATAAGGTGTATTTACTGTAATTTGATATTCTATGTAATAAATGAGCATTGTTAAAAGTAATGGAAAGAACTGTTTGTAATGCTGTGCAGAATATGACTGGAAATCTAATTTTTTGCCAAGTTAAACTAAAACATTTCCTCAAGATTAAAGTAAGTCCGAAATTTAACTGTGGTCATTCATATGAGCAATGGAGTAGAACTATGCTTGTTTAAAGAATGAGTTGAGTAAGTGTTCGTACAATAAAAGAGATGAAAGATCAGCAAAGATCTTAATTGTTCTCTCATTCTTTGTAACTTATACCAGGTTTCCTGTCCACAACGAAATGTTTCCAAGTTAAGATGAAAAAGAATATTAAAATGAGTTGCTGTTCTTCTGTGACTTGAAAACCCTTATAGCTAGTGGGTTTTGTTGAGGAATTTCAAAGAAAATAATCTTCATTAATATCTTTATGCAACTATACTGAGATATAACTCATTGATTGCTTGTACCTGCTTCCAATTAAAATTTATATTCATTTTTTTAAAAAAGGCGTTTTTAAGTAGTAGTCTGATTTCCAAGCTGAGAGAGATTCCAGTCTGAATGATGGACTATATTGGTATATTATTTAAAGCATGCATTATCTGATAAATATTCCACCAAAATACAGTATGGTTGTTACCTTCTGGTTTCTTACGTGTGTACACATACAATATTAAGCGATCCATATTATGTGTACATGTGCACACGTGTCTGTGGGAGAGAGAGAGAGGAATGATTGCTAATCATGGTACATGGTTTCCTTCCTCTGTTTTAGGTGATAGTATTTTGGTAGCAAACTACATCAGGGTGCTTATAGTACATGAACGTACAGAGGTTTTAAACGTAGCTCGCGCTGGATCTTAACTGATCGTCAGTCTGTTGACAATCTTTGCCAAACGGGCAAGTTCGGCTGTCCTGTATAAGCCCTAGTAATATTGTTTTGTCATCCTTATGCTTAAAACTGCAAGCTTGGTCATAAGCTTCCTCTTTTGGATACACTTGGAAGTCAGATTTATGTCATGTGTCAAGCACAGTAAGGAACTTTGTGTGCGTGTTTTTTATCAGCTTAGCAAAGCACTGCCAGAAATCTTGCTGCATCTCGCAAAAAGAGTTGTTGTGAAGGGGGTGAGGTTAAAAGAAACCCCTAAGAATTACAAATGTGAAATATTTGAAAGTTATAAAATCAAACCGAGAAAAGGGTTATTTGATGCAGTGAATCTGCATTAGGTTCACATTTAATGCAGATTAGATGTTTCTCCATGACACCTTTGCTTCATTCAGTGCAGAGGGTGCAGTTTACGTTCTTGATTCCTGCACAGGAATAAAACAGAAGGCAATTTTCTGCACAGCTGAACTGAGAAGAAAGTCTGCATCTCAACTTGATCTTGGTCTTGACAGGGCTTACGTAAGGTGCTGGGGTTGTTGATTCACCTCTATTCCTCCCCCCCTTCACATAAACCAACACAAAGCGGTAGTTGGTGTCACACAACATGCGAACAGATCCACACACGGATGTAGTGGTATGAAAAATATTAAAACAGAAAATATTCCACACTGCTGCTAATAGACAGTCCTGTTCACGTAAGACGTGGGTGTAGGAAAGGACTGTAAGTCTGAATAGCTTTTCTTTTGAAAACGAAAATAAGTGCTTTTTTCACTTAGAGCATAATTAGATGTTACAGGATAATTACATCTTAAGTATCTTCATGATAAAAGCAAACAACATATACAGATACAGTGAATGCCCTATAGAAAAGACACAGCGGTACACTCTGCATCTCGAATTTTATAATAAATTGGCAGACGCTCCTATTAAGCTGGAACCTGATACAGCCGAGCAGTTACTTGTGGTGTGGATTGCCATTTCTTTTCTCAATCACGTAACAGATAGCAGCTAATCCATTGCGAGAGCAATGGAAGGCAGCGTGTCCCTCTTTTTTTAAAAACAAAACAAACCAAAAAGACCCCAAAAAAACCAACAACAAAAAAACAACACCCCACCTATAAAAGCTTCAGGAGAAAGATCTTATACACTGGATGATAAAGGCAACGTAACTGTTGTAGATCACAGTTGTTTGTTGGGGTTTTTTTTCGGGGGGGGGGGGGTGTTTCTGGTTTTGCTTTTCTTTTGAAAAGACTCAGGGTAAGGAGGACGTGGTGGTGTATCTGCTGAAGGTTGAGCACATCGCGGTGTTGGCTTTACTCCCTTCAAAGCAGCAAACCTGCCGCTGTTCTCTGTCGCTTGCGTGATACCTGAGCTCTTTGTTTTGGGCTAGTTCTTGTGATTTGGGTGTTTTTTTTTTTTTACCTGCCGTTTTATTTCAGGCCGCTCCTGGTGTGACTAGGATTGCGTACTTTGACATCTGTCTGGTCTAGAGGAAGGCAGCAAAGCCTACCGGTAGCTCGCCCCGCTGACAATTTTAGTTCATCGCTGATGAAGTTGGCAGAAGCAGCAGGTCTTGCGTCCTCGGCAAGCTCACGGAGCGCCAACCCATCGGTTTTTAGATAAGCGATACCCAATTTTGCAGACAAGCAATGTGAAGCAAACAGTGTGCGTCCGGCCGAAAGCCACACGGTGTCACCCCCTTGGCTAACGAGAGCGAGATCATCATTTCCCTGAGCACACGGAGCACAGCAGTAGGAATACCATGTCAAGGAAAATTAGATGGAGGCAAATCCTAAGGGTTGCAGCATTGGCCACGCTTCACCTTGCTGTGCTCCACGTTGGTGTGTGCTTGGAGGTGGCATATTCATTTAGGGTAAGCTGCGTCCATTTTGGGTGAGAATGAAGCAAAAGCATCTGCTTGAAACTACGATGGGGAAACTTAGCCACGGTTTCCTCTTCCACCTCCTGTCCTCCCCTCCCTTCCCTTCACAGCCATATTTAGCAACCATTGCCAGTTAGGCAATGCAAATTTAAGGCTGTAGGATTATCAGCTCTGGAAAAATAGGTGGAAAAACTGGGTATCTATTAAAAAAGGGTTTGGGAAGAATAATTTCTGTTGCTGCGCGGGGAGGAGGAGTAAATGATCTCTTACACCCCCTTGCAAAACACAAATACAGTGTTTAGCCTGAGAGAGCCCACTGACCCTTCGGAAGAAGCTGCAGTTGCATTTTTAAGGATTGCTTCACGCAGACGGACTCTCCCTGGGAAGACTCGCGCTCGTGCCGCTGCAGCCAGCGCACCGCCGCGGCCGGTGCTGCAGGCCCTGCTTGACTGGTGCAGCGTTTACCAGTTTTGCTTCCTTGTCTGCGGTGTGGAGGTGGCAGATGAAGCTGTGGATGTTGCAGCGAGCTGGGATGTCTTCTCACTTGTTTCGGCCTTGGCCGGGGGCATGCCGTGTTTGCCCCGGCTCCCGGCTTTCCCGTTTAATAGACCATCAGAACAGCAGTATCGTGTTCCCAGCAGTGACCAGTTGGGTATGCCTAGGGCATACTGGGGAAAGGGCCAGGCAGACAGTGAGAAGTCTCTTTGTTATCCTGTACCAGTACTGCATTCCAAAGGCGCTCCCAGTTTCCTCGTCACTTACCGATCCGTTACCTTCCAGCTGTCGGGGGACAGGAATCTGGGATAAGTGGTAGGAGCTTGCAAGTTGAATTTTAATGAAGGTTGTCAGGTTATGTCCATAACCCAGCTTTTTTTGCACTATGCCTTTAAAATCTGGTATTTGTAAAACCCTAAAGATGTGACCTTTTGGTAGACTGTTCAGCTTAGACTGTTAAAGAGTATTTTTCAGCAAGCTTTTCCCTTTTTCTCCTCTCTACAGTCAATTGCTTCAGCAGACATGGATTTTAATCAGCTGGAAGCTTTTCTCACTGCACAAACCAAAAAACAAGGTGGCATCACATCCGATCAAGCTGCAGTCATTGCAAAATTTTGGAAGAACCACCGAATAAAGATCCACGAGAGCCTGATCAATCAAAGCCGTTGGGATAATGTCTTGAAAAACATGAACTGGCGAGTGGATCTGAAGTCACAGTCAAGACACATCGATCAGATAAACACTCCAGTTGCAATAGTTGAAATGGAACTGGGAAAAAATGGGCAGGTAGGCTTTCTTTTGCAAAATACATAAACCTGATTTAGCTACATATGTGCTGAGACATTTTACCTATTGCTGAATTCACTGCCTCCAAATCAGGTCAGTGTATTTTCACCACTGGGCCTTTAAGGTACTTGAACGTGTGGTCCATCTTTGGATACAAAGATACATTCTGGGTGGTGAATGCAATTTTTGCTTAATTTATATCTTCATATATGTATTGACAGCTCTCTTTACATTAAGCTTGGAAAATCCAAGGATGTAGAAATCAAACATAAAATCAGCCGTACGAGCAATTATATTAAAATTACATTTGTATTCCATGCATTGCAAAGTCGATTAGTCTTTTTTTTTTTTCCCCCCCTTGTCAAATACTAAAATTAGGTAATATCTGCAAAGTAGAAGCTGAAAAAGAATAAAGTTCACAAATTGTGATGATCAAGCATCCCTTACGTTTTAGGACAAATGAGGGGAAAGACTCCTCTTTATTTTACATAACACCGATTTTCATGTTGCAAGTACATCTTGATTACCAGTCACATTATGCAATCTGGTCTTATCTGCCTGAAAGAGATATATAGCTCTATCAGTGTTGAACACTGCATTTCTTTTTAATCTTTATAATTCGTATGAATGTACAACTAAAGGCACAGCTTCCCATCTTCAATTTTTCTGTCTTTTTCTGACAGGAAATGTGTTTCAATTTGGTATCTTTTTCCTCTGCCATGTGTTAGCAAATCTTAAAACCTCGTTTCTTAGCAGTAGCTACTGCAAATCATACCATGAGCTAATTTGGGGATTTTTATGTTAATAGTTAACATTTAGCAAGTTTTCTTGAATTTCATATTTTAGTAGCTTATAGCAAAAGAGTACCGGGATTAGGTATACTTAAAATGTGTATGTGTGTTTGTGTATATACAAACACGCACACGCATATACACAAACCTGGAGTATACCTATGCAGACTGAATGGCTTAATTGAAACTGTGTGGCTATACCAAGGCCAGAAAGAAGCACAAGTAAATCGGGATGCTACTGAGACAGTATATATTGTTGAAGTTATTCTGTTAGTCTGCTTTTTGTCTCGGTCTTTGAAAGCTCACCCTTCCTAAGCGCTGACCCTCCGCCTTCCACTCATGGATCTCTGCAGTGACCAATACAATAATGGTATGTGTTTTTAGGTTTTTTCCTGGCCTCAAAAAAGTGGAGTTTTCTGCTCAGGATCTTGAGATTGGAAATAATTATACTCCATTAGTAACAAATGCAAAAAGTTTTTTAAAACAAAAAAAGGTTACAGTGGGTACATTAGAATGAGTACATTAGTGGGCAGATGGAAAAAATAACCGTGTTCATTAAAAAAAAAAAAAAATCCTTAACTCAGAACCACTGTTGTATTTCCTAAGGGAATTATGTAGTTAGTGACTCTTGTTTTGAAATTGTTTTTTCCCCGGTAATGGATTATTACGGTAACATCACTCAGCAAGTACATTTATATTTCTTCCACCCTGTGCAGCGAGAGAAAGGCGATGTGAACATGAAGGAAGAATAGACATTTCTGAGACACTGTAATTTCTCTTACCAACAAAACCAGAATGAATTATTTTAGCGATGCAGCTTCATACTTCATAGGGAAGTGGTTATGTGAATGTATTTTTTGAACTGCCATCAGCCATATCTTTTGTCTCCTTTGCTGAGGACAGTGCGGTAGTGACCTGTAGGCAAGTCTGACTATTGGTTCGAATAAGGGTATTAGACTGGTACTTACAGAAATAGTCATGGAATAATTAGGATTGTCACCACTTGAGTCAAAATTGGCATTTATTTTAATGCGCTGTGGTTTCATGTAGTCTTTAGCTTTGGTTTAAATAGGTTTTCTGCTCCAAAGCGTTTGGCTGAGGCAGTCTGCAGCATGCTCACGTGAAGGGCCAAGGCAGGGGAGTTGGGGGAACCCCAGGAACGAAACAGCAGCAAGTGGGTTGCCAGAACAATTCATCCAGCCCTCAGCCTCTTCCCACATGTGTTTGGGGACCTCCTGGAAAGATGGACCTCCTGGAAAGATGGTCGCCAGAGACTTAGTATTGGAGGTTGAACGAGTTGGTCTTGTATGCTGGATCCAGCCCACAAACTTAAAACCATCATGTTTTATAGCCTTTATATGTATTTTTACATTATTGTTAGCACATTTTTACCTGTTCTAAATATAAAGTTTTGTAGCACATCAAGGTACGCTGGTACCTTTCTGAAACTTTAACAGAGAGAACATCTTTTCTAAAAGGTTGTCAGTCGTAGATGTGATTTGACAAATAGTGAAGATCTCCTGGATTTGTAGAAGAAAGCTGGCTGATGATTCAGGAGTAAATTATTCACAACAGACTATTTTCATTTGGACACTTGATAACAGGGGAGTATACAAATGCATTGATGTGTAATGAATTGACATTAATATTTCATATGTTTCAACAGAAGCAAAGAAATGCTCTGTAGAAAATGTACCTTTCCAGAACTCAGAGTCGCTCCAATTCTTCTCGGTGTCTCTGGACTGGATTTAGATCTCTGCCCAGCAGAAGGCCAGGCGGTTTGGTGGAGTGTCTGCTCCTTCTGCTTCAATAAGTAACCTTGCTTTCTGCTTGCCACTTCTGAATTTTAATCAGTCAGTTCTTTCATGACGGAAAGAATATATGCATAAGAGCTAATACAGCTAGAAATGGGGAATTTGATGTGACTGGTTCATAGATGTCAGGAGCCCGAGTTTATATGAATTATGTCAAATTTCCTGAATGTTTTCTGATGGAAGAGAGATGTTTCTGGGTTTGAGAATCCGTTACAACTTGCATGAATTAATTCTTACTATCCTTGGCATTACTGATAATAGAAAAAAAAAATGAACCCTTTCCTCTAAGTGCTCTTAAAAACGCTTCTAATGATAAACATTCAGAAATACTGGTCCTCCAAACTTTGGGAAGTTTGGTTCAGGATCTGTAACTTGCAGTTTGAACTTCTTCAGTAAAGATTTTACAGTGACATTTTAAGTTTCCTTTATGCTGGTGATGTAGTCTTTATACATCCTGGTTAAAGGCAGGTAAACATGATAGTCATGAAGTACTCTGCTTTGAAAGCCCTTTTGACTAAAAATAAAATCCTAAAGCAGTAGCACTTTAGCCTGCATTTGCCTTCATCTGCTCGTGATACTCAGCACTCATCACTGCCAGTCCATTCTTTCCTTTTGAACAGCCCATCTTTTCTTTTGCACAATGGTTTTATCCTCCTGTATCTCTGTACCGTGCTGGCTTTCTCTTAAAATGCCCTGCCCCCTTCTTTACATCCTTTTTAATCTTGTTCTCCCTCTCTGGACATGGCTGTAAAGCTCTTTTGACGTGAAATTTCAGCCGGACACGAATCTGCCGGGAGGGACAGCGGAGTGAGCTGGAGAGTCGCCCCTCGCCTGCCCTTCCTGCCCCGCTGCATCGACCCTGCTCCGTATGGTGAACGGTCGCTGCCGCGCAATGTTAGGTCACCTGCAGGCTTCAGTCACAGATTTATTATCTGACCCAGTCATTAATAGAAAATAAATGCATTGGCTTTGCACTGTGGCTTGGCATTAAGATATATGTAAACTTGTTTTATGGACTTTGTCATGTTATTTTCCTTACGAGATGTGCCTCTCCCTTGAGGCTGTGTTCTTCCCACTAGTATTCTGGGCTAATTTCCCAATAAGTTTTACTTTCTTGCAGCGTTATGTATTTTGCAGTTTAATGTCTGAGACTGATCAAATGTTATAGATTAGCCTGAATATTTGCTCTTGGCTTTTGTGCTTGAAGTTATTTACAGAGTGGGTATTTTCACATGCATTTCTTTTCGGTGTTTAAGATACTGGTAATCCATGTAATAGCACTTTTATTGGAGTTTTGTGCGATGTTAAGCATGTTTTATGAGCAAAGAGTATTTTCTGCCCTAATTTAACATGAGGTCTGGGATTCCACTGCAGGATTCTTCCCGAAAGACCTGAGGAAATTGCATCAGGATTATGGATTACAGGGGTTTTTTTTCCCCAAACATTATATATCTCTTCTCTTCCCTTTTTTAAAACATCTACCTGACAGAGGTGTCATAAAACTTAGTTAATAGTATACAGTAGGTAAATACTACTATATAGTAATACTAAAAGCCACAGTATAAATTAAGAAATTAGGATAATCTCTTTCAAATTTAAGGGCAAAGAGCAGCCTCTCATTCTATATAATTTTTCTGAAATCACCAAGGATATGTATCTTCATATAAAACAAACATCCTTCTTTAAAGGATGGGCAAACATTAGTAATAGACTTTTGATAAATTGAAAATCCAGTATTTCCTAGTTCTGACTATATTTTGATTGTCACTTTAAACTCTCACCAGTGAGATAAATACTTTCTGATGAAAGGACTTACTAGATGAAGTGATCCTTTGCCAGTGCAAGAACTTACCTGATACTGAAAAAGTAAGAACTGTCAGCTCACAGTTTACCTTAGGTGTATCACATCTGCTCTCTGCTAATGGCTGGGTCCAGACCCTTGTAATTCAGAGAAAATAATAATAATTCAGGTAATAATTCTGATAATTCAGGTGCGGAAAGAATTCATAATGAATGTAGACAATTGTCATGTGCTATATGTAGGAGGTAAAATGCTACCAGGATTTTGAAGGTCTGGAGCTTGAATGTCATCAACTTTTAGTTTGTATGACTATGAAGATTTAATTCTTTTACTGGTCTGGGAGGGGGTGAGGTAGGTCTCAAAGTAAACTTTTGGGAAATCAGAATTGTTTCTGACTTGTTAATTATGTATATTCTATGCAAATTTAGGTTGGAATTTGTATCAGCCGTGCTATAAACAAATGATGAGCTGAATTCAGACACGTTGAGAAATATTAAAATTGAACATGCTTTCACAGTGTAATAAAAAATCTCATTACATTGCTAGGATTACAGACTGAATGCCGCTGAGGATCTGTTGGTGTTTGCAAATTTT